CACGCCGGTTTGACTCGCCAAATGTTATGAGATATTGGTCATAATCGTGATAAGTTACAACACAAGTTGCTCCACATACATCTACACACAAAGGCGACGCGATGGATAGGCGTATTTATGTTTCGGAAATAAGAAAGTATTGTAGGAGAGGGCTCTGCATCATCTTCTCGCATTCGTCGACCCCCAGGTGGGCTAGTAATTTGGAACTGTCATGCAACGCTCAGTGGTCACCAACTCCATCCCATTAATGTTGTGCTGTGATTGGCTCAGCTGAAACAGATGAGATTACTTGCGAGCTTCTCGGAAAAAACAGACCTGGTGGCTGGATAGGCCGGCCGTTTTAATGTCTGGTTTCTCGTTTTAGTAACGCAATAGCGGGGACGAAACGCCTCAGTTGGGAGCACGTCTGGGTCTCTAACTTCGACGTAGGGCTTCGATGCCCAGCTGGCGCCACGGCCGCCGGCCGCTAAAATCACCGCTAACTTCGCTGGCTCCCGCGAAAAGACTGCACCGAGGCGCGTGCCGGACACCCGCCAAAAGTACGGATTCTGTGACGCGACACTGGTGGTGGTTGCACTGGATCATGACGTGACCCCGAGCTGCAGAATGCCCTCCCTTCCACTGGTTACGCGGCGCCGACCGCTGCCATGATGCCGTACGGGGTATGGACGACGAGCGAGAGATGGTGTTGGGCAGTGTGGCTCTATTAGCCACGTGGCAGTGTATTTATGCACTCCTGTCGGTCTGGCAACCGGGTCTGCTGATGGCCAGAGAGCGAGAGAACGAGAGAGCGGTGAGCGGTGAGCGAGTGAGTGGGTGAGTGAGTGAGTGAGTGAGTGAGCGAAGAGGGGGGGGAGGAAGGAGGTGTTGGACGTGTCGGAAGCGAGGTCAAACTCTGCTGCTGGGTTAGAGGCGTTGTTTGTTTCCGTGAACCCGTTTGCTGCAAAGTTGCGATCTGTTGACTAGCCGATTCTAATTAAATTCTTGGACGTGCTGGGACTACAATGGCGCGGTGTTGACCAGGAATGAAACTAGATTAGTTTGACTGTTGGTGAGGGCTGTTAGACTCAGTGACTTGATGGAATTGAGATTGCACTCGAATGGCTCAGCAACTGTTGATTTGTGCCCTGAAAGCCGAATGGTATTGGAAGAGGGCTCCAACGTCTAGTTTTGGACGTTGTTGGGCTCTGACTACTCGCTGCTGATGCATCTGCCTCCGCGGACTGCTTACCAGTGCCGCTGCGCTCTGTTAAACCGCCCGTCACGCCATGGCGGCCGGGCGGGAGCGCCGCCGAGCCGTGTTGACCGGCGGCCGGCGCGGCACCGGCGCCGCCGGCCGGGGCCGTCACGGCGGCCGCCATCGACCGCGGCCGACACCGCGGCCGGTCCCGGGCCCGCCGGCCGCCCGGGACCGGCGCCGCGCCGCCGGCCCGGCCCGGGCGCGCTGCGGCCAGGCCCGGCTCGAGCGGGACGGGGCCGTCGCCTGGCCGGTAGCCTGCAGCCGCGCTCGGGAAGTGAAGCGTGCTCCGCTGGCCAGTGTGACAGGTGATATTGCTTTCGTCCATAATTGGAATATTGGAAGGTACTGGCCGCGCGGCGACATAACATTATCTGAATGCATATGCGTCCAGATGTGGCTAGGTGGACCCCGTAATGCGTGGACTGCTGCATCACCGGCGGTGGGGCCTTCGCTCCGGCGTAGGCGGGAGCGAGACATCAGACTTGGCAACGTCGTGCGAAGACTACGCCTGTGAGAGCTGGCCGCTTTTCTGTGCTCTGCGGCCATCGCGTCGCGACCGTTTCCAGCCGTGACTACTTAGCTTCACATGGCACGCATGGACCGACGGCACGCGACAGCGACACTGCCAGCACGGCCGTCGTCTTCGCCCGGACCGGAGGAGCCGTCGCTTGACGGCACCCGCACGTAGATTACATCCTCCGCCAGACTCTTTCGCCGCGTTTGTTGTTGACTCGACGGCGCCCCTCTTCGCCGGCCGGCCGCGCGCCCGCTGCTCGTCGGCGGCCGCGCTCACCCCGGCGCTCGCACCCGCCTCGGTCGGCGGCGCGTGACAGGGGCACCGGTGGTCCGCGTGCTGTCGCGCGGCGCGCCGCTGACGCCATTGTGGTGGCTTTGTGTCGCCTCGGAGACAGCTGCGCCGGTGGTCGATGCGCTCCGGACGGGTGCGCCCCCGAGCCGGCCAGCGGCGCCCTCCCAGGTGCGACTGACCGGCAATCCGCCCCTGCACGCGCGCTTAATGGGTGTCTCGGCGGTGAGCGAGGACCGGTCTCGCCAGGTGCGGCCGGCTGTTGACGCTATGTCGTCGCGCACGTGCGGAACGCTGGCCGGCACCGCCTCGCCCAGTTTGTTTGGAGGTGTGTGCATTGTCCCGCCGGGTATTACGCGGCTAGCGATGTCGCACGGTGACCATTGCCCTCTGTAGGGCGTCTGGAATTAGATGGCCCGCCCAGGTGGGTGACGGCGAACGTCTGCCAGGTGTGTAGCGGGCCAGACGCGTGTCGATGGTGCAAGTGAATGGCGCAGTGTGATGCGGTATAAGGAACTGTTTCACGTTTGAAGATGTTGAAGCAATCATCAGATATGATGAGACAAGCTCACTTATAAATATTGGCATACTTTCCAGGTGGAAAAGACTGCTCTAGACAGCACAATGCTCTGTTTGGTAAACATGCTCCTTAATGTGTCATGATTTGATTACGTCACCGTACCTTGCACACCATTGATTGAAAATCAATTGACGGCCGTTATATCCGGAAATCGTGCTCACAAACGCCAGACACGAGTGCATCGACAATGATTTTTTTGCCTTGATAGCCACATGGCTTATGGAATGGTAGGATTTAAATGATGTGATTATGATGTCATGAACGTGAAGGTGACTTCGAGATACTCTCCCTGATATACCTTTCCCTATTTTCGCGGGCGCCTAGCTCAGAACGTAGAGGGACTTAGATCTTAAAAGGGTCAGAATTGTGAACAGCACTAAAAGCTCTTCAAAATAGTCGTTTCAGTTAAAAACCCCATATAAGTGTGGAACGCTTCCTTTAATACTGACGAGATTCAGTATTCGTCAGTATTACTGAATATCGTCAGTATATTCGACGATAACCCTTGCCGACCGGGATGGCGGCAGGAATTCCGTGTCCTGCCGAGTGAAAGTTCGGCCCTCGTAACAGTCGTGTATGAACGGCACAGTGCGTGACTTGGCTTCCGCGTTCTTTGTTCAGGGGGTGGGGGGGAGGGGGGGGGGGGGGCACACAACACGTCTCTGTGTGTCGGCACCGTCGCCGTGCGTGCCCGGGCCGCCGTGTGGCAGCCAGCGGTGGCATAGGCCCTGGCGCCGGCACGGTCGGCGCCTCGCCAGGTCGGCGTGTGAACTATGTGACGTGCGCGCCGGTGTGAGCCCAGTGACACGGGCCGTTGCCCCCCCCCCCCCCCCCCCTCCCCGTCTTGTGTGCGAAGTCCGGCCGGCCGTCGCCTCGCTTGGTCGATCCGACGGCGGCCGGCGGCGGGGCACGGACGCAGTGCGCCGCCGGGCGTCCGCCACTGCACGTGTCTACCCGCCGCCACGGCCGGGGCCGGGGCCGCCCGCCCGCACGTGCGCCGCCGCACTCCGCCTAGGCCTTGATCTTGTTAGTCGTGCAAGGAAATCGAGTTGCCGATGTCCCGCCGGCGTTGGTGCGAGGATACGTGCCCGGGTCTTGTCGCTATCGGCCTTTGGTCGGCTGAGTCTGCTGGGTTTGGCACCGAGCTCAGCCGACGGCGTGCGGCTGTGTCTAGACGCGTCGCCCGTCGTCGCCGTCGTCGCGTCCCTGCCGCCCGTCGGCGCGGCGGCCGACCGAGGCAGGGCCGCCGCTACTGGACGGCGGCGCGTGTAAGCTGTGTTCACGGCGGAGGCTCGGCCGGCTCATGAGCCGGCGCCGGCCGATCGCGGCCGCCAGCGCGCGCCGGTGGAGCGCTGCGAACGCGATTGCGACCGGCGCGGTCGCCGACGGACCGGAGCCGGCGTCGGGTGGTCCGTCGCCGGAGCTGCGTGGGGCGCGGCTCCGCCTTGCGGCGGCGCAAGTGGCGGCGCCTGGTGGCGGGGCAGACGCGCGGGCTGCCCGGTTCCCGCCGGTCCTCCATTAGTCGCTTCTACGGACCTGCCGCTCAGCTGCGACGCTCAGCTGATCTGCAGCTGTCCAGAAACACTCGCTTAAGTCGGCGGTGCCCGGGGCCGAACTTTCGCCGAACTTCCTGGCCTTCGTCTGTCTATTACGTCATGACGTCATCTGTTACGTCATCGGCTTCCTATCTGTTACGTCATGACGACGTCATTATGCTTTCATGCGATAGCGGCCGGCGACAGTCGGTGCCCTAACGCTATCTATAGTTCTTGAGAGGATCATGCAAATCACGACACGAACACGCCAAACGTAGCGAAGCCTACTGTGTGGTTGAATGGCCTGCACGAACATTTAAGGACGGCTTAAGCATCGCTCCACGTGCGGAGCCCCCCCCCCCCCCCCACCACGCCCATGCGCCTGCACCCGCCGCTGCGCCCGCCTGCCGCTGATTGGCTGGCAACCCGCCGCGGTCAAGGTCAGCCTCCCGGCGCGGCCAGACGCTGCTGATCACGGCGAGTCACAGGCGTGCCCGTTTTCGCCGGTCGACGATTACCGAGACGAGTCAACTGTCAGGGTCCCATCCGATGCGGTGAACCCACGCGTGGTCAAGGTCAACCGTCAGGGTTCCAGCTGCTTTGGTGCGTCCACGCGTACTCGAGGTCAACTGTCAGGGTCCCAGCTGCTTCGGTGCGTCCACGCGTGTTCGAGGTCAACTGTCAGGGTCCCATCCGACGCGGTGCACCCACGCGTGGTCAAGGTCAACCGTCAGGGTTCCAGCTGCTTCGGTGCGTCCACGCATACTCGAGGTCAACTGTCAGGGTCCCAGCTGCTTCTGTGCGTCCACGCGTGCTCGAGGTCAACTGTCGGGGTCCCATCCGACGCGGTGCACCCATGCGTGGTCAAGGCCAACCGTCAGGGTTCCAGCTGCTTCGGTGCGTCCACGCGTGCTCGAAGTCAACCGTCAGGGTCCCAGCTGGTGCGGTGCGTCCACGCGTGTTCGAAGTCAACCGTCAAGGTCCCAGCTGGTGCAGTGCGTCCACGCGGGGCCAATCACTAATCCGCTGTGTCGTCTGTTGCAGCGATGCTCGCCTGAAGGAGGGGGACCAGATTTTGGCCATCGATGGCCAGCCTCTGGACGCCAACGTTTCCCATCCCCAGGCCATCAGCATTCTGCAGCGAGCCGCAGGTAACGGGCGGCCTCCGCCTGGGAAGGCGCTGGCTCACGACTGGGACGTCACGCGCGTGGTGTTGTTTATCGGGCTCGGGTGGCGCGTTCCACGCATTCTCTACGTATCGACAAAGTGCCGGATGTGCTCTTGTAGCGTCTGTAATTGCTGTGTTGTCCCCCATGTGGCAGAATGTCATTCGCCTGACTCCCTTAAACATCTGTTTGTGGCAGTGAACGTCGCTCACTCGGCCGCAGTGCCGGCCTGGCCTGTCCTGTGTTAAGTGTATGGATTGGGCGAGCGGCGGATTGGGAGATTGGACCCGGCGAGCGGCGGACCCTACGCTGCCGCCGCCGTCAGCGCAGTGCAGCCGCACCCGGGTGCTGGAGCTGATCCTAGTGGTCAGGGTCGACCTGACACTCGGATACTCCAGCTGCCGTGCTCTGTGTTGGCCTGGGCCGGACTGGCACTGCTGGCTCTGTCCCCGCTGGATGCGGTCGGGTCGGAGCGGGCCAGACCTCGGGCGGCGCAGCCCAGGCGGGTGCCCCGCTGCAGCCGCTCCGGATGTGCGTGTGGCGGCGGTGCGTCGCCGGCGCGCGCTGTAAGTCGGCCGCCGCCTGCCGCAGGTCCGGTGGAGCTGGTGGTAGCGCGCGCGCCGGACCTACCGACGGGCGAGAGCCTCCCGAGCGAGGCGCCCGCCGCTGACACACCGCAGCAGCAGGAGATGGTGGTGAGTCCTCCGCCCCTGTCGCTCCGAATGAGTGCGGGGCAGCTGGGTCACGGTCTGGTGCGGAGGCGGCGTCGCCCCGGGAGCAGCCGGTGTAGTGTCGGCGTTGAGGTAGAAGTGAGCGCCAGCAGAAATGTCACGGCCAGTCCAGTGTGCCTGTCTCTTCCACTGCCGACAATGCATGTCCGGGCTCCTTCCCGCTCACGTGGCCTGAGCTGCCGTCATTTGCCTGGCATTTTAACCGTGTGCTTCCGCCATTGGCGTTGGCAGTTCTTTCACATCCATTCAGCGCCCGTCTGCCGTGATCGTGTCGGTACCGGAAAGCGTTAGACCACCACTTCACGTTCCAAGTACCGCTACACCAGCCGACCGCTTCCACAACGCCCTGGAAGCGGCGACGCTGCCGCCCCTGACGCCGGCCGTACTGCTTCAGCTGAACACGGAGTGGGCGCAGGTGGAGGTGATTGACCTGGTGAACGACGGCACCGGCCTGGGCTTCGGCATCATCGGCGGCAGGAGCACCGGCGTCGTTGTCAAGACGATCCTGCCGGGCGGCGTGGCGGACCGGGTGAGGAACAGGGCCCCTTGGGAGCGTGCGCCGCATTTACATATACTGGTGTTCCTCTGGGGACGCGGCGGGCCCACCCGCGTTCGGGTCAGCGTCGGCTGCGCGCGTAGAGCAGGGGACATCAGTGATCTCGCCCGGTTCTGAGAACCCCTGCACTTAGAACTGTAATCACTGCCGTCAGCTGCTGCGTCAGCCTTTGCCAGCCTGGGACGGTGACGTGCATGCGTAGACAGCGGTGTGCTCACGTATGAGGAGGCGAGTATTATAGCGTTACACAAAGTTCACTTAGACCACGTCTTATGGGGTAGCCGGGGCTCCTGCCGTACCTACTGCCGTTCTTCCTCACCAGTGTTTCTCAACCGTGACCCCCACCCGTGACACGTCTGTGTCGGCGGCCAGCTGACCCCTAGCCGCCCACCTGTCCCTGTACGGCCCGCTGACTTCTGGCCGCCCACCTGTTCCTGTACGGCCCGCTGACCCCCGGCCGCCCGCCTCACCCTGTCCGGCCCCCTGACCCCTGGCCGCCCGCCTGTCCCTGTCCGGCCCCCTGGCCCCTGGCCGCCCGCCTCACCCTGTCCGGCCCGCTGACCCCCGGTCGCCCACCTCACCCTGTCCGGCCCTCTGACCCCTGGCCGCCCGCCTCACCATGTCCGGCCCGCTGACCCCCGGTCGCCCGCCTGTCGCTGCCCGGTTCGCTGACCCCTGGCCGCCCTCCTGCCGCTGTCCGGCCCGCTGACCCCTGGCCGCCCGCCCGTCCCTGGCCGGACCAGCTGACGGTGTGTCGCCACCGCTCTCCAGGATGGCCGACTACAGAGCGGCGACCACATCCTGCAGATCGGCCAGTACAACCTGCGCGGCATGGAGTCCATTCAGGTGAGGCGTGCCGCCGACCTTGTGACATGGAGTCCGTCCACACGAGGCTCCGGCCAGTCCTGCCTTCGGGCTGGGCGGTACTGTCAGTGGCTGGGGTCCACGCAGGTGAAGATTACTGCTGATCAGCCATCGGGTCGACCAGTGCTGTCTGTGGAGGAGTCCATCCAGGCGGGATTTATGGTTAACCCTGCCTTGGGTCGGACAGTCTTAAGCTGGGTCACGACTTTAACGCGCTGGGTCAAGCCAGGTCCGGGCTACGTCAGTGGACTATCGTCTGTCGCCGCCCCCCGGACGTGCCTGGGCCGGCTTCTGGCTTTCCCTGTCCCGCACCTCCGCTGTGCTCCGGTGGGCGTCGTGGGTCCCGACCGGCCGGCCTGCAGAGACACAGGCTGCCGCAGGCTGCCACGGCCAGCTTGTATGAGTCTGAACCCCTCTCCTCTGGTGTGTCTTGGACAGGGACTCGCGTCCTGCCAGGTGGATGGCACGAACGGGGTCAGACTGGTACTGGAGCACGATAAGGTCGTTTGGCCTCCCCGCAGGGGCACCGGCTTCGGCCGGTGTAGGGGACTAGCGCCCCCTCGGGTCCCAGCTCCGGTAAGGGGTGGACAGCGCAAGCTGGTCCTCTCAGGGCGTGGCGACCCTGCCGGTACGTGAGCTCCTGCTCCTTGTCCCGCCCGCTCCCTCCACATTACCCGCACTGCCCGCATCCGACCCTACCACCACCACTCCTCATCCGCGTTTTATCGGGGTCGCCGTGCCCCCTCGCGCACGTCCCCGGGTTGATCGGATCCTGGTGGCTGAGGGTCGCGTCGTGCGGGTCAGTCACGGCGCGTCCTAACACTCCACTTTGGCCAGGATATCCGGGGGCGCGGGGGGCTCGTGGGGCCCCCACGGGTCTAGCGGCTTGACGCTCGCGTCGCGGTTGGGTGCTCCTTGCGGGTTTCCGCTTGGGGCGCCTGGCCGCGCGCAGCGGACTTAGGGGTCAAGGGGCGGCGGCGCTGAACCACGGCCAGGACGGGGAGGGGTCTCCCCGGTTACACCTGGCCGTGTGGGAGGCGTCGTCCGCCCCGTATAGCACCGAGGTAGCCCTGGCGGCACCACCACCAACTGGTGAGTGGGCCGTCCCCCAGTTGGGCTCCGAGGTGGGTGGGGAGCCCCGGTGCCGAAATAAAGAACAACCTTGCATGGCATCTACAAACCAAAAAAGCTCCCGCCCCCCAAGAGGGGGACGGACTGCGATGAATTTAGGGTGCAGCGAGGAGTCGGTTCCACCTGCCCCACGCGTTCTTGTCTTCCGTAGTGATGTGAAGAACCTGGCATCGCTTTCACCGTTTCAGCGCCGAAACGGATGCGACAGGTTTGGAAGTCACCCGCTGTGACAAGCTGAGGGACGGCGCGATCGAAGTGGAGTTCGCAAACGGCACCGATGCGATTCGAGCTTTGACTGTAACTGAATTTGTATATGCCGCGAGAACCGAGGGTGCAAAGCGAGACGTGAGCGTGCCAGTCACGGTCACACCGCACCACACCAAAAATTTATCAAAAGGTATCATAAACTGCTATGACCTTCGTGACGTCAGCGAGGAAGAAGTCATCGAAGAGTTGGGAATTTTCGGGGTCACGGCAGCACGTAGGATCACGACCAGGAGGGGTGATGACCAAATCCCTACAAACTACATTATACTGACATTCAACCGGCCTGATTTACCGTCTGATATCCGCATTGGCTACGCAGTTGTCAAAGTCAGGGTCTTCGTTCCGAATCCGATGCGATGTTTTCAATGCCAGCGCTTCGGTCATACAAAACCACACTGCCGCAATCGAGCTGTCTGTGGGAAGTGTGCATCTTCCGAGCATTCGGGAGACCAGTGTACCTCTGCGCAGCCCTGGTGCGTGAACTGTGGCACGGGGCAGGTACCGCACACAGCTTTCGATCGAAGTTGTCCAGCCTTCATGAAGGAAAAGGAAATTAATATCACTCAAAACTTCAAAGAACATTTCTTTCCGCGAGGCGCGTGAACAGTATAAGGCTAATCACCCCAAAGTATCTTATGCCGAAAAATCCAAAACCTCTGTACCACAGTCCACCAGCATCAATCACATGTCAGCGGTCCAACTCATCACGCTCCTGCGATCCTTCGGTTTGTCTGTGGTGCCGGCGGGGCGGGCGACCCCCGCCCAGTCGGATCCTCCTGGTCCTTCAGTTGCGTCCTGCTCTACCAACGCTGTGCCGCCGGACCTTCATGTGTCGTCGGGGTCGCAGGCGGGGGAGGAGGAGGGGTGGACGGTGGTCAAGCGCGGCCATGGTACGCAGGCTCGGCCTTCCTCGCCGTCTGTCACTCCGCTGCCCTCGTCGCCTCCGGCGACGTTGGCGAGTGTGTGTGGACGAGCAGCGGAAACGATGGAACGGCATGAGGCGGACAGGCGCGCCCGCGACGCCAAGCGGGCCCGCCTGGCGGAGTTGGAGAGGGCTAAGGCGGCCAATCGTTTGTCCGTTGCAAGCAAGGAGCCCACCCCTCGCAGTGGCACACCATCGCCGGGAAGGCCAGTGGAGGCCCCGCTGACCCCCAGACGCCCGGTAGATGCCCGCCGATGGGCCCTCCCCCGCCGCCACCCCGGACCGGGTACGCTGGCGTCAAGCGTGCCCCGGCCGGTCCCCCGTCTCCATCTGACGGCGGGAGCCCCAGAACTCGTCCCAGAGTAGGGCACCTTCCTGCAGATTCTAACCGTGGTTCTCAGTCAGAAAAGTCTGCTTCTGCAACTGGCGCAGCCCAGTTCTTTTAGGACGTGTCCGGTTTTAGTATGTGACCTCCAGCCGCCTTTTTAACACTCCCCCTTTACAGGCCCATTTTACAGTGGAACTGTGGAGGAATAAGGGCGAATGCCCTCGACCTCCAGGCTGTCATCAGCAAGCACTGTCCTGCAGCCGTAGCGCTGCAGGAGACTAAGCTTGCTTCTAGTCACCACTGCACGCCGAAGGGATACGCCCTGTTTCGCAATGATGTGTTAACCGACGGTATCGCACATGGCGGTGTCCTTCTTGCAGTCCACCACAGCGTGCCAGCCAGGAGGTTTAACCTGCGGTCTACGCTACGGGCTGTAGCCGCACGCCTACATTTTAATCGCCGCCACATCACGGTGTGTTCTTTATCTCTTCCACCTGGCGTCGGTTTTCCATTGGAAGACATGAGACGTTTAGTGCATGAGTTGCCTTCGCCATGTCTTCTTTTAGGCGACTTCAACGCTCATCACACCGCGTGGGGCTGTGATAGCACGAACACCCGCGGAAGGATGTGCGAACATTTTATCCGTGACTCGTCACTGTGTATTTTAAACACAAGGACTCGTACTCACTTTACACTGCCGTCTGGTCAGACTTCCGCGCTTGACCTGAGTCTTTCTAGTCCCGAGCTGGTGGAGAGCCTCGAGTGGTCTGTGGCAGATGATCCAATGGGCAGCGATCACTTCCCAGTGTGGCTTCGATTCCAAATAAGAGGAACGTTTGGTGTAAGACCACGACGTTGGAATTTAAAAAAGGCTGACTGGAGTGAGTTTGAGGCTCGACTGGAGACATCATGTCAGACCGGAGGTGTGAGGGTGGCACCCTCTATTGAGGATTTTACTCACAGACTTCTAGATTGCGCTGGCGATTACATCCCGCGCACTTCTGGATTTCCTCGTCGCACTCCTGTGCCGTGGTGGACGGAGAAGTGTCGTGACGCAATCCGCGCACGCAAACGTGCTTTCCGAGCTTTTGACGTCAGAAGTAGCTTGGAGAATTTAGTAGCCTTTAAGAAAGCCAGGGCTTTCGCCCGCCGCACGATAAAAGAAGTGAAACGTGAATCCTGGCGTATGTATATAAGCACGCTCAACCGATTCACACCAACTTCGCAGGTTTGGGCTCGGATCAAACGAATCTCTGGGCAGTTTTCATCCGTGCCACTTCCTGTGTTACATGTTAACGGCCAGGTGGTGACTCATCCGTTGGATGTGGCTAACGGGATCGCCCGAGCACTCTCCCACCGTAGCGAAGGTGCAAACATGAGCTCACAGTTTTTACGGCAAAGAGCACAATCCGAAAAAATTGTAGTGAACTTTTCTACAAGGCAACCACAGGCGTACAATGAGCCCTTCACTTTAGTGGAGTTGGAGTCGGCAATTGGAAAACTTCGTAGTGTATCGGAAGGTCCTGATGACATCCACAATGAGGTGCTCCGACATCTGCCACCGTGTGCACGTCGTGCACTATTGGCGGCCTTTCAATAGGGTGTGGTCAAGAGGTGAGTTCCCTCCGGCCTGGCGGGAAGCCGTCGTGGTGCCTATCCTAAAACAGGGAAAGAGTGGGCTGGACGCTCTTCATTACCGACCCATTTCACTGACGTCATCACTGTCCAAGCTCATGGAAAAGATGGTAAACGTGCGACTCACTTGGTTTTTAGAGAACAACGATGTTTTTAGTAACTCGCAGTGCGGATTTAGGAAAAACCGTAGTGCGGTGGACCATCTTTTAACACTGGACACCACGGTTCGCAAGTCTTTTCAAGAAAAAGCGCATATGGGGACAGTACTCTTCGACATTGAAGCCGCCTATGACACCACATGGCGCCATGGTATTGTTCAAAAGCTTTTTAAATATGGTATACGTGGCCATATGGGTACTTTTCTCCAAAGGTTTTTAGCCAAACGATACTTCCGTGATCGGGTCGGCAACGTCCTCTCCGATAGGTACAAACAAATAAACGGCGTGCCCCAGGGCGGCGTGTTAAGTGTAGCACTGTTCGCAGTTATGATAAATGACATTTGTGATGTGCTCCCACAGTCGGTAGGACGTGCCCTTTTTGTGGACGATTTTACTATTTGGACCAGTGCAGCGAGAGCACCAGCGATGGAGCGGCGTCTCCAGCTGGCTGTGGACCGCGTTGAAAGATGGGGTGACATGAACGGGTTTCGTTTTTCAGGCGACAAGACCGTTGCGATGCATTTTTGTCGTCGCCAGCGATGTGATGGTCTGAGCATCCGTCTATATGGTCGCCCTATTCCAGATAAGGCCGTGGCCAGGTATCTCGGGATACACTTTGACCGCCGCCTTACATATAACGCACATCTTAAAATGTTACGCGATCGATGCTTTAAATCTCTCAACATGCTAAAGTGTGTGTCTCGCACATCATATGGGGCAGACAGAAGCACGCTTATGCTTTTATATCGTTCCCTCGTCCGCTCCAAACTGGATTATGCATGCTTTGTTTATGATGGCGCGTCTGAATCCAGCAAGCGTGTTCTTGATACCGTCCACCATACTGCCATTCGCATTGCTACTGGAGCGTTTCGCACATCACCTTCCGTCAGCCTTTTAACGGAGATACACGAACCGGTGGCAATAAGCTCAGGGCAATAAAGACAGAGTTGGTCTTGTGGTCGTCATGCTCTCGCAGTGTGCGGTGGGAAGAGGTGGTTTTATGCAGACTGCGCATTGGGCATACTTATGCCACCCATGGCCATCTGTTGCATGGAGCCGACAGACCCCTATGCCAGCGGTGTGGTGCCATCCTCACTGTCCATCATGCCATTATATCATGTCCGTGCCTCATCGAAGAACGACGACGTCACTTTGGTTCACAGGCTTCGACCCTGACGATTAACGATGTGCTTGATGACAGTTCCTCCTTTCTTGATCCCAAACAGCTCTTTTGGTTTTTAAAAGATATTGATTTTCAAGTCATTCTCACACCGTACTAATTAAGTAACAGCATAGTTATGGGCGCAAAATGACCACTGCAGTCGACGCGCCCGAAAACTCAAATGAACAACAAAAAAGGTCGTTTGGCCTTAGTGCATGAGTGGCCGTGCTTACGTGTGTAGGTACATAAGTTAAGTGATCATCTTTGTATGCAAACGATAAGTGACTACGCAATAAGGCCTAGATGTGCTCGTTTCCAAGCTAGGTGTGAGTTCGGCGGTTCGTTTTCAGGTGTGCAGTAAGACGACGCGCATTTATTTGCTGTCGCTGGAATCCGTCAGATCTCGCCCTGTCGCTGGAATCCGTCAGATGTGTCGCACTGTCTCACTTATTACGGGCGGCATATTTCGGGCGCTGCGGCCGGGATAATGACGTCTTCCGCTGCGGTCAGCATGACAAACACGCAGTGCGCACGTGCGCCGGCGAGCTGATACACTCCCGCGGGGAATACAGACACTCGTGTTCCGAACAGGACACGATACGCGGCCCATCGATGGCTGATCATGTGGACATTGGTTATCGCAACACGCTGTCTCGTGACGAAGTGTGGCATCGATCCGAGGGTATTGTTGACGCACCTGGAATCATTTTGCAAACAAAGCATGCTGTGACTGTTTGTTGTACATCAAGTGTGTGCAGAAGAGGGAATATGGTAGTAATGGCGTGGGTTGAGTCATGAATTTTTGAAATGATTTATTTCATTAATCTGTTAATTTATTTATTTAATTGATTATTTACTCGGTCATGTTTGTAACTTAAGTCGGGAATTTGCAACGGTAGGGGTCCACGCAACCGCCGCCCACTTGAGCCAGGACTCGCCGTCAGGCTTTTGATGATTAATCACGAAAGGTCACTTCGTATACGAGAAGACGTTCGATGACATTTACCAAATTGGGCCCGTGTGCTGAACGACTGGACATTGAGCACGACCTTATCGAGAACTTTATCGTGGCGCAAGAAATTGGTTCGTTTATTTTGACTCGGGCTTTCGCAGAACTTCGCGGGCAAGGTTCAGTGACCTATGCTCACGCTGTGACCTACCATGATGACTGCAAGGCACTCTTAACCAGTACCTTCCGGTACATTAAAGGTCGCGTACTTCCGGCAAAATAACTCACCGAACAGTCATTGTTCATATCAGCCGTCGCTGGGTGGCCGTTTGGCTGGCGCCGGACGCAGCGCGCCACAGATGGGCGTCGTCTGACATCGCAATGCCATCAGCGGGGATCACGCCGTTCTCCGCTGGCGGACGTCCCCCGCGGGGACCCCCTGATCTCCCTGACCTGATCGGCGGTGTGCTCCGTTGGTGTGATGTTCCCCGGAGGGACTCCGTGACGCCTGACGCTGTCCGGGTAAAACGCCGCGCCGTTGCGGCGCTGTGCAGTGACGCTGTGATGCTGTGATGCTGTGCCATGCATGACGGCTCGATGCGAGGAGGCGCGGGACGTACGCTGAGCGCATGGCGGTGCGTGGAGACGTGGGCGGCTTCTTTACCTCCGCATGAACGCCGTCGAGTCGATACGTGCCCGCGCTCCGAGCGGCCGCGTCCCGCCGCCGCCGCCGCCGCCGTGTGCCGCGTCTGCGTGTTTGCACGGGGCAGCCCCGCGCCGCTCGTCGTCGGCGTGTCGGCGCTGACTCGGCGCGCCGTCCCTCCGCCAGGTGGCGCAGGTGCTGCGCACCGCCGGCACGCAGGTGCGGCTGATCGTGGCGCGGCCCGTGGAGCCGAGCAGCCCCGACTTCCAGGTGGACGTGAGTTGGGCACCGGGTTTGGGCCCGCGGGGAGGTATGGGTCACACTCTGCGCGAGCATGGGAACGGGAGTTAGACTACAGCCCCGCGAGGAGAGCAAAGGTGCAGTCGTGTCCCAGCCAGGTGCGCACGAATCAAACCATGCCGTTCTCGTGGGCGGGTTTGGGACTCTTTCCCCAGGGCAGGGATGTCAGTCTGACCGTGGGCTGGCCGGCTGTCGCACGTCCGACGCTGTCCCAGTAAGGGGCGCCCCAGCCTCCACCGCGGTTCAGCGCGGTGCTTCTGGCCTGCTCGCGGACCAGCCGCCGACTCTGGTGGGTCGTCATACGTGCACGTGCCGACTCCAAGCGCTGTGCCGGTCGTTCACGAGCGCGGCTCGGGCGCCGTCTGGCCGCCTGGCCGTGAGCGGAGGCCCCCCGGCGGCGGCGGCGGCAGCGCCCGACCGGCGCCGCCGCCGGACGCGTCACCGACTGTCTGACGGTGGTGTTTGTGGGCGGCGGCAGAGCTCGGTGATCACGCGTGCGCCCATCGTGCCCACCCGGCTGCTGGCCGACCCGGACGAGCTGGACCATCAGCTGCAGGCGCTGCAGGTGAGACGGAGCGGGACGCACGCAGGCGTGTCGACTTCGCAGCGCTCGTGCCTCGCGGCGCCGTACGCCGCGTGACCTACGTCGTCGTGTCAAAGCCCCCCCCCCCCCCCCCCCCAGCTCGCTCTCCTCGCAGCCTGTCGCGTCGTCTACGTCCGTTTCTGTACCGTACTTTATGTGCATGCTGACTCAACTGCGCCTACTTCTCGCTTGTGTCTCGGGTTTTTCACACACACCTAACCACCTCGCCCGCTCCTCCACTCACCGCCCGGGATTTTCACGCGTTGTGTTGTGTGCGGCTGGTCGAGTGCCGTTCAGCTGAAAGTATTCGGCCGGCCAGACATGGCAGAGCGCCCCCGGCTGCGCACTCGCTCGGCGCTGAGTCGCCGTGCGAAGCGCCGTGCGTGGCCGACAAGAGCCGTGTGTGTGGTGTTACGAGTCTGACGACTACATTTCAGCTCCCGGCTGAGCGTGGTGCGGCGTGCCAGGGGCCGTCGCTGTGCGTGCAAGCCTGCTGTGTACGTTCAGGTGTGGCCCGCTTGGCGTCTGTTGCGTCGAGCGGCCGCCGTCTGTGGCGCGCTCGCCGCGGCCCGGTGCGCGCCGCGGCGCCAGCTGTCGCCCGCGGCCGCGACCGTCGCGCTGACACCAGCCGCGCGCCGGCAGAACGGTTTCCCGGAGCCGTACATCCGCGACTCGGCCGTCGACGAGAACAACCTGATCAACGGCCAGCTGGCGGCCGAGTACGAGCTGCGCGAGCCGGCGCTGGCCGACCCGGCCGTGCTGGACGAGCTGCAGAGCCAGGTGAGATCGCCGCCCCCGTCCCCGGCCGGCTGGGATGTCAGGCCCTGGGTGTCCGTACGTGGTGGGATCGGTGTGGAGGCAGCGCTCTCCGGAGCGCAAACACAGCACAATGTGATACTGCACGACAATCTCTCGATTGGTCCTATTTCCCGGGGAATAGGAGGTCAGCAGCATTGCGTTCGTGCGGCACTTCGGAAACCATGTGTAGCATAGTTCGCACTCCTGTCATCACGGCCAGATTCAGCCTCGGTCATCGACGGCCACGCTGCCGAATACCAATCGTTGCGCGCGGGCGCCGCCGCCGCTGACCGATGCCCGCTGGCTGCGCCTGGCCCGCCTCTCCACGTAGGGGGGGGGGGGGGGGAGGCTGAACGTGGGCTCCGGGGGGCGGTCGCAGCCATGCCCGCTCGGTGCTGTCCGGTGCGGTACGGAGGGGTCTTCGGAACAGCACGGGCGTAGCCGTGCCGCCGCCCGTCCGTCGGCCTGCGTGCGGTTCTGCCCGCCGCCTGCCTGTGTCGTCTAATCAGGCGACTGGATAGCGATCGCTGAGGGATCATGTTGACAGACACGCCATCGATCGAGCCTTGCTACTCACGCTCGCGTAGACACCGCTAGCCGCCGAGTAAGCTTTGCGGTTGGGATGTGAGTGGGTCGCTTCCTGGACGTCACTACTTTGCCGCAGTAATGAATGAACGACGCGCTGTGGGTCGTTTGTGGGCGCGGTATTTTTCCTTCAGCTAAGATGTCAGTGGAAACATACTTCGATATGCCGTTTTCCCCCTATATGCTGTGGTCATCTGTGGTCATCAAATAGTCCATATATAGAATGCTTCCACCCTTAGTTCCTGGGAGAGAAGAAACTAGATTGCCTTATTCCGTTAACAAACATAGTCTTTCGTACTCGGTGCCATTATCAGGGAGATGTAGGTTGACTGTTGTGAGCAAGTCACGATATTTACGGTCACATTAACACACGTCCATGGATAAGTTGGATACGTTAATGATCATTCACAAGCGCAGCCGCCAACACACCTGCCATCCAACGCTTACCATCTACCATACAACGCCTCGTCGTGCCGCATGGCGCAGCTAAGAGTTGTGTGGTGTGCTGCGTTCAATGTGCAGAGCTCTTTCGTCCCTCCATCGCATGTGTGGTCTTGGCGGCCCAAATACGCGATGTTTCTGTGATTCGTCCCGCCAAAACGCTGCACGTGTCTCGGCGACGTCTCCGAGGTGCTGGAGTGGAACGAGGCATGCTGCTTAGAAATGCTCTAAAAGGTGGTTTTATTTCTTGTTTCCTACGTGATCGATGAGAGGGTGTGGGTTCTCGGACGAGTCCGGGCGCTGCACGAACGAGTCCTCCAGCTCGCCTGTCGTGCATCACTAACCGCCACCGGGCTGGGGTCTTGTTCTCCGCTCACCCGCAGAGGAGCTGCGCTCTCGTAATGACGTGCGCTATGAAGCGGCCTAGCTGATGAGAGCACACCTTTTGGGGCACTGTGGCTCCCCGACATTGTTGACGGGGCCGTCTCGCGTCAAACTCGGACACTCTGTATGCGGCACGTGGCGGGCGGCGTATCGGATTCAGGCCAATCTCATCTGGCGACGACGGCTTAATTTCTACCGGAGTTGCATCTGGTCAGATTGGTCCGTACAACGCACCCGGTGTAACTGTTCGAATGGAGCGGTCATGACGCCCACTGGCAGCTATTGGATGCCTCCGGCTGGCTGGGCTTATAAGCTAGCTGACACTAAGCGGTGTGCTGCAGATGGCTTGCAGATGGCTTCGTCTCGCCGCTCATGACCGCAAATGCCTTGGATGGAAGAAGGTGGTTTGGGACATGGCTTTGGCTAGGACACGGTGTCCCTGCATTTTGTTCGCGATATTGCATAACACGGGCGAAAACTTCTTGCCCCGAGACGTTTAAACCCCGCTCTGTTAGAAGTAGATGAGGGTATCATTGCCCCCCACCCCCCACCCCCCATCAGCATACAGGTTTCTACGAATAGAGGTTTTGTCTGTTGCCGCTTTTGTCTGCTGTGGATCACACTCTACGTGGCAGACGGGATCTACCAAGCCTTTTTGTGTTCTCAGTTTCTCAGTTTGTTGCCTTTAAGTGTTTGACCTCTTCCCAGGTTGTCAGACAGTCATATGTCAAATACTTGACCAGCGCCTCTGTCCACAGGCAAACTTTTCTTCCGCGTACGTGCTGACTGCTGACATTTTCCTCCCTGCACGTGGTGTTCATTTGGTGACAGTCGCCTCGGCGTGGCGTCGCCGCCAGCCGCCGGTTCTCGTCCCCGCCGGCCCGCCCACATCCTCGCGCTGACAGCCGCCTCTCTGCGCTGCAGTACGCGGCGGCGGCCGGCCTGTCGACGGCGCCGGGCGCCGTCAGCGGCCCGCCGCCGCCGCCGCTCTCCGACACCGAGACGTGCGAGGTGGAGCTGGTCAAGGACGCCGCCGGCCTGGGCGTCACCATCGCCGGCTACGTCTGCGAGCGCGAGGAGCTCAGCGGCATCTTCATCAAGTCGGTGAACCCGGGCAGCGCGGCCGACCTCAGCGGCCGCATCGCCATCAACGACCAGATCATCGAGGTGCGAGGCGGCGGCGCGGCCGGCGGTCCGCGGCGACGGCGGGGCATGTGGGTGGGACGAGAGACGGGTCATTGGTAGGGAAGGCGATGCTGGGACGGCGGGATCAGCCGGTCAGTGGTGAGAGAGGCGGGGCTGTGGCGCCGTGTTCGCGACAGCGCCGCCGTGTAAGCGTTGCGTCGCCTTCAGATGGCGCGGTTCGGGCGGTTTAAGCGGATCTTCAGAGGCGTTACTGGACAGTTGTCGGCGGCCATGAAGCCGCCAGATTCCCCGTCGTTTCGCGGATTCGCCTCACCCTGAGTGACATTCATAGCAATCGCTCATGGCCTTCAGTGCAATCGCCGAAGCTGTGAAGTAGTAAAGTGGGGAAGGGGAGAGGAATTGCCGCACATTCCTCGAGCGCATAATGCGCGTGGGTGTTTGGGCTTGACGCGCCCACCTGTGGAGCGTGTCTGGTGAGCCCGAGCGTCGCCTGATCACCGGTGACCTCTCGACCCCGGCAGGTGGACGGCACGCCGCTACACGGCTACACCAATCACCAGGCCGTCGAGCTGCTGAAGAGCACCGGGCAGGTCAGATAACCCGGCGGCGCTCCTGTTCGATGCTGTGTGGGTGTTCGCCACTGAACCACTGCTGAGGTTATGCTCTACCGCGGTTGATCGGCTCTCTGGAGGCTTGCCTTCTGCTCGCGCCGGCAGCCAGCTGTCTGGGTCTCATAATCCCACGACTGTCTGTTTTCGGCTTCTGCGGTCGGGGGCTGCTCAATATCTTTATAGCCCCTTCGCCCGGCGAGTCTGCGAGGCTCCCGCGGTGCTGCCACCCGCCTTGGTTCGGTTCGTTTGGTCCTCCTGACCACGTGTGTCCAGCTGCTCAGCTCGCTGCCGTGAGCTCCGCCCGGCTCTCGCGCTGTCACCGCCAGGCTGTGACCAGCTCGTCCGCTGTCGCTGACTGGCCGCGTTGTAGCTGCCTCCGATCCCACTCACCAGCTGCGGGTCCCACTCAGCTCTGCCCAGTTGTTTCGCTCCCACCGACATTCGCTGTCCGCCTGGCCGGCTCTGCTGAGCTCCTGCTCCGCCGCCGCTGACCGCTGCTGCCCTCCAGGTGGTGCGTCTCAAACTGGCCCGCTACATCAGCGGCCCTAAGTACGACCAGCTGCAGATGGCGATCGCGCGGGACGGCGCGCCGCCGGCCTCCACCGAGTCGAGCTCGCGCACCTCCTCCCAGCCGCACCAGGTGCGTGTCGCCGCCCGGCGGGCGGCGGCGGCCGGCGCCGCCACCGCCACCGCCACCGCCACCGCCGCCTTGTTACCGGCTCGGCGGCCGGTCGAACGAAGCCAATCGTCTGAAAGCGAGGCGTGTGGGGGACGCGGTGGGCCGCGCTGGCCGGCGGCGGGGGCGTCCGGTCGGCATGGGCACACGCGGCCCGCCGCCGGCGCCGCCTGTCGCTCACCGGTCGGCCTGGCGAGCAGTCGGCCAGGACGCCAGTCCGCGCGACGCCCGGGTGCGCTCCGGTGCCGGACCGGCGCGATCTCGTCGCCCGTCTGCCGGCGTCGGCCGCTCGTGTGCGAGGGTGGGCGCCGGGCGGCGGCGACGAAGGCAACGTGTCGCGCGTTTGCGGCGAGCAGGAGTGACTGGACGGACAGAGCCAGCTGCCAGAGCGCGTGAGCTCCGTTCGGGGCGGCCCCGGCCCGTCGCGTGCTCGCGTGACGCCCGTCGCCGTCGACAGGACCTGGTGAGCGGCTCGTCGGCGTCGACGCAGCCGGTCGGCGGCGCCCCGCTCTCAATGGAGCTGGCCGCGGCGGCCGAGCAGCAGCCGGCCGGCGGCGCCGCCTTCCCCGGCAGCAACGCCAGCTACTCAGAGGCCATCGACAAACAGGTACGGCCCTGCGGCCGCCGACGTAGGCACGCGTACTGACATGGGGACACGTGTAGACACGGGCATGCGTGTAATCTCAACGTGACGCCGTTTGGTGTAAGCCGTCGACTTCGACCAGCCATGTAAACCCGCCCCGGGGCGATCGCGTCCGTGTCGTACCGGCCCACCGACGTGATGTGTGCGCCGTTGGGGGCTGTTTCGCGAGCGTTGATGGTCGGCGCGCGGCAGGTTCTGCTGGAGGACCTGGAGAAGCTGATCGACGCCGACTATCACGGCGAGATCAAGCCCGAGGTGGAGACGGCGATTCAGCTCAAGTGGGGGAAGATTCTGGGCGACGAGTACGACATCGTGGTGAGTGCCCGCGTACCGAGCAAGGCTTTCCCACCATGGCTTGCTCCTACGTGATAGGTTTCATGTCGCCGATGCTGGCTTTGTCGCTGTGAAAATTAAAGCAGCAGTGCGAGTGATACACGTGCGTGCTTTAGGACGGAACCGTCGGGAAGCATTTGAACTGCTTTGTCATGGAGTGCGTGAAAGCAGAAATGTGTTAACGTAAGGTTCGAGGTGGTAGTGAACCCGGCTAGGCGTGGATGCCACCCTCGCTGGTGCGGATGACCGGGGGAATACCGCAGTCACGCCGTCGACGCTCGCCGTGCCGTGCGGGCGAGCGCGAGCTGTGCGTCACTGTCCGTCGCGCCCGCCAGGTGGCGCAGATCAGCAAGTTCCAGCCGGGCGGCGGGCTGGGCGTCAGCCTGGAGGGCACCGTGGACGTGGAGGACGGGCGCGAGGTGCGGCCGCATCACTACATCCGCTCCATCCTGGCCGACGGCCCGGTCGGCATCAACGGCCGGCTGCAGAGCGGCGACGAGCTGCTGGAGGTGAGGAGCACCCAGCGTCGCCCTCTGCCCTGCCACCGCCCCTCCGCTCTGCCACCGCCCCTCCGCTCTGCCATCGCCCCTCTGCCCCGCCCCTTCCCCGCCCTGCCCCCGCCCCTCCGCTCTGCCATCGCCCCCTTCGCTCTGCCACCACCCCTCCACCGTGCCAACCCCCCTACGCTCTGCCATCGCCCCTCCGCACTGTCACCTCCCCTCCCCTCCGCGCCGGCCGCTGACAAAGCTGGCCACCCTCGACCGTTGAACCTCTGTAGCCACCCTGGCCTGTGCTCATTGGCCAGATGAATCCGTCCTGAGAGTGTCTGAGACGCTGCAGCTGTACGACACAATGACGCCGTATCCTGATGCCGCTGGCATTCGCTCGTGGCGTTTGTGACGCTGCGGCGCGTCGCTGGCGACCGGCCTCCAACCGGGCGTCTGTCCGGTGCTGCCGGCATGTTGCATCCTGGCCGTCGCGTCGTCCCAGTCGTCTGTTTCTGTTCGTCTGTTCTGTTTGGCGCCGTGGGTTCAGATGCCGCCGTGCGCCGTGTCGCCAGGTGAACGGCAAGCGGCTGCTCGGCCTCAACCACATGGAGGTGGTGAACATCCTGAAGGAGCTGCCGGTGGACGTGCGCATGGCGTGTGCCCGCCGCTCGGGCCACCCGCCGCTGCACGGCTTCGACGTGCCGTCGGCGCACGGCCGCGCCCAGTTCGCCGCCCGCGTGAGTGGTCGGCAGGCGCGGCGCGGCGGAGCTGGGGGAATGGACCGCACGCGCTGTTGGGCGCGGCTGGTGCTGGTTCGGGGGAGGGGGGTGATGTAGGATACAGTTAGGCACCCGAGCGAGCGCGGGGCGCCAGCACAAGGCGAGCACCGGTGTGCCAAGCTGTCGCCTGCGGAAAAGGATGGCTGGTTTTGCGTTATCTAAATGGCATCAGCGGTGCACGTGCTGTGAACCGTCCAGAATAGTACACAGTATGACATTTTGGTGCCAGAGGCGTAGTTTGGTGCCTGAGTTGACACGGAGGCCGGGTGGTGGTGGTGATCCGGCGAGCGCTCACCTGTGGGCTGATGCCGATAGTTCCAAGTTGTGTGATTACGTCTGAGAGACGGTGGGTTCGAGACGCGCCGGTGTCATTGTTTTGACTTCCCTTCCCATCGTGGCGCCAATAACGGGGCCCGGCGGCTGTAACCGTCGCCACAAACCCGGTCAGTCAGCGCGTTGGCCTCCTCCCCAGAGCCTCCTGAGCGGCTCTCTGGGCCAGCTGTTCCCGTCGGACCGGCTGGTGAAGGCGAAGTCGGACGGCTCGCTGGCGTCCAGCGGCGCCACCACCTCCGCCACCGACACGAGCATGTCGCGGCTGCGCTCGCGCAGCATGGAGCCGCTCTCGGGGCTGGCCATGTGGTCCAGCGAGCCGCAGGTGTTCACGCTGGAGAAGGGCGAGCGCGGCCTGGGCTTCTCCATACTCGACTACCAGGTGCGGCGCGGCGGCGTCCGGCTGTTTGGGGCTCGGGCCCGTGCTTCCGGCCCCATTACCGGCTCACGGCGGCCACGTCTACCGAGGTTGTTTGGTCGCGGGTTTATGGTTCGGGGCGGGGCGGTTATTACCGGGCGTTGATGTTGGGCGGTTTGCAAATGGGGCGAGGCTGGCTGTGCTGAAGTTGTCATGATATTGGAGCTGTAGTGCCGTTATTGTATTTGCAATGCGGTATTATGCTCATGTCATGGGTGTCCGCCATTTCCGCAAAGCATATGAACCGGTTATGTACAGCTAGTCCCATCCTGCACTGCCCTAATGTGACCTGACCTGAGCTGGCGTGGCGTGATCCGATCTGACCGGACCTGGCGCCGGAGGACCGATGAACCTGACAAGCTGTGTGACCTGACCTGACCCGACAGGACCCGATGAACCCCACCGACACGGTGATCGTGATTCGGTCGCTGGTGCCGGGCGGCGCCGCCCAGCTGGACGGCCGCCTCATCCCCGGCGACCGCCTGATGTTCGTCAACGACGTACGACTGGAGAACGCCTCGCTGGACCAGGCGGTGCAGGCGCTGAAGGGCGCGCCGCTCGGCGCGGTCCGCATCGGCGTAGCCAAGCCGCTCCCCCTGGCGGCCGACACCAGCAGCAGTCAGGTGAGGAGCGGCCGGCCGGCGCCGCCGCCACGCGCAGCTGAGAAGAGGTGGCTTATCTGGGGAGGGGCGATAGCGGCGTGGTCCGCCCCGCCAGCTGCCGTCGGTTCACGGGTGAAGTTAGGCGTGCCTGGTGAGCCGGGCCGGTGCTCAGGCCTGCTGTTGGATCAGGGCCGCCGGACGCTCCGGACGCCGCCGCCGCCTCTGACGGTCAGCTCCTGCCGCCAGGAGCTGACCGCCTCGTCGCACTCGGAGACCGAGGTGGACCTGGAGGTGGCGGACGTCGAGCGGAGGTCTTCCAGTGGCGACAGCTCGTCCACAGACATCTCCCGGCTGCAGGTGCGCCCCCCTCCCCCCCCCCGCGACACCGCTCCACGGAAGGCCGGTTGCGGTCCAAGGCGATACGCAGACGCGATGTGTTGTCCGTTCGCACTGACCGGTGTCACGCTGTGCCGCTGTTCAATGTCGAATAGGTATTGTGGGGATCAGGTATACGTGTTTGCTTTTGCGTTTCTGGGCCTTCATTTTTTCATTTGCGAATCATTTTTGGCGTCAGTTCTTCTTTTCGACATCGTGGCACAAGCTTAAATTTGAAGCGCTGTGCCGGAAAGGGCGCCAGGTTTCCCAATGACACGGATGCGGCCGAGGAGGGAAGCGGACAGCGGTCTAGCTTCCTTTTCATTTGTGGAGGAACTCCAGCTCCCTTCCCCCCCCCCCCCCCCCGTCCCTACAAGTCAACTTTGAGAGAAAAGTCTGTCCAGCCCACCCGCTCTCCCCCATCCCAACTTGTCCAGAAAAGTATGTCAAGGTGGAAGGGAAACTCCTTTTTGTGGATTGTGGGCGTAGGTGAAGTAAGCGTCATTTCCCTACCCACCCCCTCTTCCGACTTACCAGCACCCAAACCACGTCCCTGGTGGCAGGTGCAGCGAGCGCTGATCTGATACCCTGCCGGAGAGTAGGCTTCCCTGTCTCTCGTGGACGCGCTGTCCGGCGCGGTTCGACCATCTGTCAGTCGTATTCGAGCAGACGGATCGGCGAGACCCTGGCGTGAATCGGCCGCTGGGGAGGCGCTCTCGCCTTCGTGCATGATCAGCCTCACTGACGTGACGTGCCGATGCGCCCACCCGCAAGGCTGGCTAGGATAACGCCCGTCGCACTGGGGCGCCAAACATGGGCCTCGGCCGCCTCCGGCACGTGCCGCGAGTAGGCCGTGGTGGGGCGGCGCGCGGCGGCTGGACGGAGCGTCGCCAGAGGGCTCCGCTGACGCGTGCTCTGGCCGGCCGCCAGTGTCTGGAGGGCGAGGAGGCGCTGCTGCCGCCGCTGCCGCCGGCCGACGCCCCGCTTGACCTCACCCTGGACGGCGTGGCCGATATCAGACAGGTCAGGTGGTGACCCCAGGCGACCGCCTGGTGACCGCGGGCGACCCCGATCGCGGGAACGGCGTCTGCGCTGTCGTATGCCGGGAGGGGTGATGGGTTTGCGGTGTCGTGCGTGTTTGAGGGGGGCGGGGGGAGATGAGCCTGCGGGCTCTGCGTTGCAGCATGTGCACAGCGGTGGTGCTCAGATTTTGAGCGGCGGGTGCCTTCGGTGTGAGCGTTCGAAATGCGCGATGAGCTCGCAGTTGGGGCTAATCTGGCGTGATTTCTGATGTAGCATGCTGCACGATGTCTTCGACTGCGATGTTTTGTGTGCATTTACGTATGCTGTGTGGGCGTAGGTGCGCATTCGCCATAACTTACTGCTGACGACTAACAAGCATCTAAACAGTACTTTACTTACGCGCATGAATTTTGCTTGCCTGACGTGCTTCTTAGTGCTTGCATTACGCGGCAGCCTGTGTCGGAACTCTGGACGGTTCTTACTACCAGTAACATATCTCATTGGCCTCTCTGGGAGCACCTCATCTTCCCCACGTCACCACGGCACGCGACCTCTGTCGGGCTTTCACGCTGGCTCGTCTGTTTCTAGCTGCTAGCCAGCCTGGAGCTGTCCGAGGACGCCTAGCTGCATGGTGCTAGTGGGCCGGCCGCTGGGGCTGGCTCGCTCGCACGCGCGCGCGCTCACCATGCTCTCAGCGGCCGCCGCGCCTGCCGTTCGGCCTCTGGCAGCCGGCTGCGGCTCTGTGGGGCGTCTCTTTCTGGGCGTGCGCGGCGGTGCGGGCTCAGCAGGGGTGGCGGCGAGGTTTGGTGGGCGGTGCGGGCGCACCGCGGCAAGACGAGCGCGCGCATGCTCTGGCACCCAGCGCATGTGGTGCGTGTTGTCCGCGGGTCGTGCGAATGCCAACGGCGTTGACGCGCTTGGAGCCTGCAGGGACCGGCGGTAGATACAAGATGCTATGCTTTTAGTTATGACTTGTCTAGTCCGGTTGCGGAGAGCTGGGCGGTGCTGGGGTTATTGTTTTTGAGTGATCGTCATGAAAACGGCAAATGACATGCGCATCCATCTAGACACTCGCATGGTTTCTGCCTGCTGCGTATACGCCGTATGTGTGGAGGGCCTTCTAAACTTGAATCGTGAATCGTCAGTCTCGGGCAGACTCCGCCGTCTGGATCACCTGATGGAGCGTTGGAGCGTTCAGATTCGTACACCTACTGATCGGTGCCCTTCCTTTATCGGTCGGTTTCGACCGGCCGTTGAGGCGCGTAGTGATATCCTTTCGCTGTCACTGGCGGGCTGGCTAAAGCGCCAGCACACTTGATAGATTGTGCCAGCCCTTTGTGCTGTAGTGCCGCGTTATTCCACGAGTTAAAAGCGCTGTTGCCAAGGAGACAAGTTTGGGCGCAGAACGACAATTCTTGCGCGTCGCAGTCGGCCTTACATATTGTGCACTGTGGAATGACATATAATACATCACGCCGAGAGAAATTGGTCCGTTTTTCGGCGATTGCATATGCAATGGTTTTTTGGCTCTCCAGCGTTAAACAGATATGACATGCGCATTTGGAGTGCCGTGAGATCTTTTGGCATGCTTGCGTGTTTTATCTCGTGAAATTTTAATGTACAACGAATGTAAACCCGTGACAAGTCTTCATCCGGGGTAAGTCATGCTCTTCTCAGATCGTCATGCCTTGTCCGCTGTTGTAGAGGCGCCCAGTGGCTTCCAGGTACCCACAGTTATGCCATCACAACATCGCCTGGATGTTCTTGGTTTCCTTGTGCACGCCGCTGTTGCAGTGGTATCATGCTTCCTCCGTCAATCTGCAAGACAGCACTTGCGTACTTGACACGGTCCGTCGGGCGTGTGGTGCATTCGATGTGGTAACTTGCAGATGTGGGGCTTTTCTCGCCATCACCCGTGCCTTTGCTCGCGTAGAACTCTGCGCTGTCGGATCTCCCACGGCGCCTCGTGTCGGCCAGCCTCTGTGGAGGCGCGTCGCCCGTCCGCTGCCCGCCGGCGCCTCCCGGCCGGCCGTCAGCGGGGCGTCGCCTGGCTGACGTGCGGCTGCACCCCGGCAGGAGTGTGTCCCGGTGCCGGCGGTGCGGCAAGAGCGGCTGCTGACGGCCGGCGCCGGCCCGCTGCCGGTGGAGCCGCCGCCGCGGGACGGCCGCGAGCCGCCGCCGCCCGGCCCGGCCGTGCTCCGCTACGGCGGCGAGATCCCGCCGCTGCCCGACGAGCTTCAGCGCACCGTGCGCATCCGCAAGGGCGGCGACGAGCTCGGTGAGCGTCCGGGCTGGTGGGGGGACCTCAGGCGCCACCGGAGCCGAGGTCACCGAGGCGGGACAGGCGGGAGGGCGGCGGCAGGCTCGGTGAGCCCTCGGCTGGTGGAGGGGCCTCGGCCGCCACCGGGGGGACGGGTGGGAGCACTGAAACGAGGGACGGGGACTGCGCGCAGCGCAACTGACGCAGTTGATTTCCTGGCTGAGTTAGATCCCATGCAAACTGCAGCGTGGTGAGACGTTTCCAGTCAGCAGATGTGATATTGATGTGGCGACACGGCATGGGGCGTTGGGTTGCCTGCGGGGATGGCAAGTTCGACTGGGGGCGGACTTGTGTAGCGTCAGGGACGCGGTCGTTCATTAGCTGGGAGGAGGAGCATGGCGTGTCGCTGGTGGAGTGGAAACGAGATTCACGACCAGGGTGATGTTCGAAGGATGAACGACAGCTGAAGCCGTGGCCGAGGCTGCTGTTGTCGAACAGCCGTTGCAGGGTGCCGAGCAGCCGTGGTAACTGCGTGACGGAAGAGTCCATTTATGCCCAAACAAGTCCGTGAGATGAGGTGATTGGATGGGATGAAGCGGCTGTTACCCCCCCCCCCCCCCCAACTCTGGCGTGTTTTGGTTATTTTCTCGGCTGTGCTGTAAGTAAACGAATGCCTCTGTAAACACTTGGCATATCGTGGCTTATTTGATCGGTGGAGGTATGGAATTGGACCTTTCAGGGTGAGGTGTTACCGAGGTATATCGTGGCTAATTTAATCCATGGAGGTATGAAATTGGGCCCTTCAGGGTGAGGCGTTACGATTGCCCGTGGCTTATTTGATTGGTGGAGGTATCGAATGGGGCCTTTCATAGTGAGGCGTTACGTGTGCCGTATGTCGCGTATGATCCACATAGAATCGTTTTAAAGACATGCCACTTCGTCCGGCAACAACAACGTCTTGAATTCCAACGTTTTCACGAAAATGTCCAATGACTCCGCGACGATAAAACCCATAATGGAAGGCGCCACAATGTTACCAACAATACGTCTGCTCGCCACCTGGCGCAGTGCAGACCCTGGCGCTCAGTCGTAACAAGGCCTGTGCCAGACACCGCTTCGATCCAGATAGCCTGTGAATGGCCGGCGCCTCCGTCCTCCCGCTGACGCCCGTTTGCCGGCGCCCCTGTCCTCCCGCTGACGCCCGTTTGTCGGCGCCTCTGTCCTCCCGCTGACGCCCGTTTGCCGGCGCCTCTGTCCTCCCGCTGACGCCCGTTTGCCGGCGCCCCTGTCCTCCCGCTGACGCCCGTTTGCCCGCGCCCCTGTCCTCCCGCTGACGCCCGTTTGTCGGCGCCTCCGTTCTCCCGCTGACGCCCGTTTGCCCGCGCCCCTGTCCTCCCGCTGACGCCCGTTTGTCGGCGCCCCTGTCCTCCCGCTGACGCCCGTTTGTCGGCGCCTCTTTCCTCCCGCTGACGCCCGTTTGCCGGCGCATCTGTCCTCCCACTGACGCCCGTTTGCCGGCGCCCCTGTCCTCCCACTGACGTCCGTTTGCCGGCGCCTCTGTCCTCCCGCTGACGCCCGTTTGCCGGTGCCTTGTCCTTTCGCTGACTCCCGCCCGCCGGTGCCAGGCCTGAACGTCGAGGTGGTGGACAAGGGCCTCAACGGCGTGCCGGTGAAGTCGGTGACGCGCGGCTCGGCCGTGCACAAGGACGGCTCCATCTCGGCCGGCGACTACATCGTGTCCGTCAACAACGAGACCATGCGCAACGTGACGCAGGCGCAGGCGAAGGCCGTGCTGCGGCGCTGTCAGCTGATCAGCACCGACATCACGTGAGCGCTGGCGCCGAAGCCCCGCCGGCCCGCCGATCCTGTTAGCTGCCGGCCTTCGCCGCCGTCGTCGGCTCAGCACTAATGGGATCGGCCGGTGCGGCGGCCGCCGACGGGGCCTGACGACGGCCGGGGCTGGTCGGGGCAGGCCGGCACGATAGGCGGGACGGGCTTCGGTTGTCTTGGAGGGAGGCGGGGGAGGTAGGAGGGGTGAGATCGGCACCGGCGCGGCAGGGGACGGTGAATGTCACGTGGTAGACGTGGAAGGTGCGGTTCGGTTTTGGGCGGTTATATTGGCGGCTCGGCTAAAGACTTCCATACTGTTGCCGTCCAGAGGCAGAGTAGCTCACGTCGGCATTTACAATTCAGCTGAGTTTGCATCTGAAGACGACAAGAGATGCGCCTGCCTGAAAACTCGCGGTTTTTGATGTGCGACTTTTGGATGGCATACTAGTTATTGCGTGTGCGTCCACTCTTCGATAGGCCCCTGTATTACTGTGATCAATATCATGAATTCTTGGCGGCTGACCTTGTTGAGCAGGTTCTGCTGACCGTTCGCTCCCTCCCCCATGCTCCCGCAGTCTTGACTGTAGGCCGAGCTCTAGACGTGCAGCCGACGCTGGTCGATGTGTGTAGCATCCACTCCCCAGCACGGGCGGATGCAGGGGCGGGCACTTCCCACATGTGGTGGCGGTCTGACCGCGCCGGGTGCGCCGCGCAGGATCGTGTACGTGCCCAGCGCCGACGCCGCCAACCACCGGGAGGCGGCGCTGATCCAGATCAAGCGGCACGCGGAGAAGATCCGGCAGATGAACCTGCAGAACCTGCCCCGCCAGATATCGCCCAGGTCAGTCTCGGCCCGCTCCGCTCGCGCTGCGTCTGCGGTGCCGGCGACAGCCGTGTGTGGGGGGTGACGGTAGCCGCCGGCGCCGGTTAGCCGCGCGGAGTTAGTGAAAGGTGGCTGGGTGTAGGTTCGGCCGCTTCGGAGGCGGTGGCTGCACGTGTGACCTCTTGACACTGCCGGCTGGATGCTGGCGTGTGGCGCGTAGCACCCACACAGAAGGGCGTTAAAGACATGCCACTTAATCTGGCAGCAACAACGTCTCGAATTTCAACGTTTTCACGAAAGTGCCCAATGACTCCGCGACGGTCCTGACCCGTGATGGAAGGCTGGATGCGCCTGGCCGGCCGCTTGGTGGGCGGTAAAGCGACCGCCGTCCGCTGGCCACTCGCTGTTTAAAAAGAAATCAAGTCGAACGCGGCAAAACCCACCAGCTGCTGATGTGGTGCTATCGGACCGCCGTCGTGCCTGGTTCCCCGGCGTGATAAGCTATTACACTGTTCGATGGAAGGCCATTTGGCTGAATGGCATCATCTACCATATGTCTGCGCTGTCTGAATCAGCTGTCGCCGCGGCACGAGCAACAAATGTCTTCGGAGAAGTGGCTCTGCCCGCGGCGGTTGGTGCGCTTTGAAATCATTGCGACCTTCTGCTCTGAATTCAATACCGCCTCTAGCTCCGGCATTGGGCAGGCATGCAGTATGCATGAAGCGCTCCTACGAAAGCGAGCGAGCGACGCAGGCCGTTGCCGGGGCGTCCGCCGCTAACCCGATTGGTGCGGCAGTGAGCGCTGCTGGGGTACGCCAGCGCGCCTCGGTCATTGCCATCACCTTTTTCTGGCGTGCTCACTGGGTCTGCTGTGAAGTGCCGGCCAGCAGAGACACACACCGACGCGTTTTGACCGGGATTAGGCGTTCAGGTTGTCGCATTTTAAAATGTGGACCTGCATTGTATCAATCGGATGTGCTTGTCCTGTGCGTAAAGCCGATCTAACAAGTGTATTCGATTTCGTTTTACGTACGCCACCTGTTAATATCCTCATCGCGGTGGTTTGGGTGGTGGAAAAAACACACTGAGTGAGTGCTTTGGCAACATGGGACGGCGCTGGTAGGCATTCGCTGCAGGGCGTTTCGGCATGCGGAACCCGCACCGTAAGGTCAGGGGCCCAGGTCACCCCTTCACCGCTTCGTGCACGCAACGGGTCTGAACCACACGCGTGAGCTATGCACCAACACACGGAGTCACCACCGGTCTGCCCTGCGTGTCGTTCACCATATCGCCTCACTGCTCCCCCCCCCCCCCCCCCCGGCGGGGCGGCCAGGAGGGATGGGGTCGCTCGTGCAGTGCCCCACCGTGCCTCGCGAGAGTGGCCCACCGCTAGCGCACCCTGTCCACGGCTTCCGTACGGACCAGCTTGGCGTCCCGCATGCCTGCGTCTAACACCCGTCTCTCGCCGTAGGATTTTCCCCAAATACTACCGGTGAGTGGCGCGCGCGCCCGCGCGGCCTCGGCCGACGCGGCCCGCCGTCTTCCGTGTAGCTCGCCGGTCCCGCGCGCCGTAGACTGTGCCGCCGAGCTCGGTTGCGCTGCGGCCGGACCGGTCCAGTGACTGTTTTTTGGGGCTCGACCGAGCGGAGTCGTGCGGCACAGTCTGTAGCGCCGCCTGCGCCCGGCCCGTCTGTGGAGCGCCGCCTCTGGCGCCCGTGGCGGTCTGTCTGTCTTGCCTGCGTCGAGCCGTGCCGTGCCAGCGGCGACACCCTCGGCCGGAACGTGATGTCTGTCAGTCGGCCTCCCGTGCCTGCTGTACCGGCTTGTAGTGCCTGTGTCGAGCGGCCGCGCCAGCCTTTGGCGCCCGCCCCCCCCCCCCTCCCTCCCCGGAACGCGAGGATGCGATCGGCCCGTCCCTGCCTCTCCCTCTCCCTCTCCCGCTCCCTCTCCTTCTCCCTCTCTCCCTCTCTCCTCTCGCTGCATGCGCGCCCCGGCGGTAGTGATTGCCTTCATCCAACCGGGCGCGGAAGCACGTGGGCATGAGGTGTCGTGTCGCTCGAGACGGTCCTCGCAATGTTTGCTGGCTGCACGACAGCGGTGATCCGAGGCCATGGCGTCTGGAGTGTTAGCTGTCCGCGCGGCTTGACCCCGGGACCGATAGCTCGTTAGCAGGGTCGGCACAACGGGCTGGAGATCAAAACGGGTTCTGTGTTTGGCTATGCGGCTAGTTTAAATCAGGCCCATCAGTCTGCAATTTTCCTTCAGAGATTCTGGCAATGCTAGCTGGATGTCATTCGAGGCCATGCTCGCTAGGAGCTTTCCAGCCATAATGAGGTTCATCGGTCGTTTGCATCGGTGTAATACGTCCGTCATTTATACGCGGGCAAGTTTTGCAGACGTCGCCTGCACAGGGCAATATTTTTATGGATGAGGTTGCATTCACTTTTGTTAGAGGATCCGGGCTTTGCCAATTGTCTTATTCTTTCAGCCTTGCACTTGAGGTGTGAAACATTACACCGACATTGCATTGCACTTGGACATGGCGCTTGCACTTGCACTTGCACTTGAAGAAGCAACTTTAAATCTTTCGACCTCCGTATTAGGCAGTATCTGAAACACTCGTTCCGCATTGCTTATGGGTCGAGCGCTTAATGCGACCTGGTAGCATTTGCTCATGCCCTTGCACGCTTTTTTCTCCATGCATTTTGTTTGCTGCTGCGTCAAAATGTCATCTCCAATCTGCTCCATTTGTGAATCGATTGATTACGTTCTTCAGTTGGGTGGTGGTGTCGGTTCCAGCAGAGCTGATCGCGGACGACACATGGGTCTCAGTATTCGGTGTCTGGTGGGCGGTCGGACCACGCGCCGTAACAACTGCGCCATTTGTGGCATCAGTATTCCACCATCAAGTTTTGTTCTACGTATGGATCATCAGCCACAAAGCGAATGCGTTTGGCTAAGGCGTTGGTGCACCTCCGGCTAGCATCTGTGCAGCGTAGCGTGCGGTTCTGTGCGGCGCCGGTGAGGGCGCATGCTGTTGCAATGTGTGATAGCTGTGTCTGTGTGCAACTCTGTAGGTGTGCATTAGATGTCGCGGGGCGACGAACGCCGTCAGAATCCGGACCAGCCGTCGGGCTTCGCGCTCGCAGAGGGGCGTCGAGCTCTGTTCAGCCGAGTGTGTGTCGCATGCGTGTTCCGTCCGTGAGTCTTCGTGTGGGTCTTGGTCGTCTTGGTTCCGCTTGGAATGTCGGCTGTTTTGCGGGATCTGGCTACGGGTGTTCGCCGTTTCGAGGGAAACGTCACTGGATTTCGAACCGAGTCCAGCCTGCGCTGCACTCAGTCCGGGAACGGCGCCCGGTCGCGGCAGGCTCCGCCGCCAGCCGCGCCGACCTCTGGGGCGGCCGCTGACCCCGGTCGGCCCGTTCCAGCTCTCCCTACTTCGGCCCGGACCCGTCGGCGGCGGACGCGACGGCCAGCGGCAGCGATCCGGCGGCGCTGACGCGCTCCAACACGGCGCCCAACCTGAGCGCGCCGCTGGCGCGCGTCGTCGACGTGGAGCTGGACGCGGTGTCGGCGTTCTCGCTGCCGCAGACGGCCGGTGACGAGCGGCCGCCGCCGCCGATTGGCCGGCGCGCCGAGTCGGCCGACCAATGGCGCGGCGGCTGGCGGCCGGCCTCGGCCGAGGAGGAGCGGCTGCCGCTGCCGCAGCGCCGACTCGGTGGTGGCCGGCACGCAGACGCCGGACGAGGAGGGCCCGCTGGCGCCAGCCGGCGACACGACCATCCTCACCGTCGAGGTGGACGGCAACACGTTCAGTAGGAGTTTGCCACCGCAAGTGCCCGCCCCCGCACCAGCTCAAGGTGAGTGCTGCCGGCGGGGAAGGGTGGGGGGACTGATGATGCTGGATAGGGAGTCTGGCGAGGAGTGATTCACACATCGCATGGAGTACGTTTGTCAGCTGATCGCGTGTGTGCTCTTGCCTGCTGTGCTGATGAGCATGTGTTTGCTTTTGTATAACTTTTTCGCTAGGTGGACGGATCGGTATGCAAGTTAAGAGTCGTGTAGCATTTCAAAGGCTTCTTTAGAATCGATACCAGTCCCGAGAACAAATCTCATTAATGGAGGAAGCCAAGTGGTGCCTTGAGTAGATCCGGACACCTTGGCGCGGCCTGACGTCGCTGCCTCTTTCAGAAACCACGTGCGAGTCGTCGAGTTTTATTAGCGACAGCGCGAACCGGTGTGAGTGATACAAACAGTGATTGCGCCGGCGCGGCCGGCTGGGGCCGCGCGGACAGCCAGCGGGCGAGCAGCGGGGCCTCCGCCGCGGACGGCGGCCGGCGCGCCGGCGCCGACAGTCGGGACTCGTCGGTGGCGAGCGTCGAGCGCCGCCCGCCGCCGGCCGACGGCACAGACCCTAGTTCGGCGGCGCGCCGCACGGTGGAGGGGGCCTGCCGGCGGCCGGCGGCCGCGGCGCGAGTGTCGCCTCGTCGGCGGACTCACCGCTCAGCGGGCGCGGCTCGGTCAGCGGCACGGCCGGCTCTCCCGTCAGCGGGCGAGCCTCAGCCAGCGAGACGGCCGGCTCGCCGATCAGTGGGCGCGTAGTCCGCGAGCGGGACGGCCGGCTCTCCCGTCAGCGGACGGGCCTCCGCCAGCGGGACTTCCGACCAGTGCTCACCTGCGGCGGCTCCCCCGCCAGCGGGCGAGCGTCGGCCAGCGGCACGGCCGGCTCCCCTGCCAGCGCCGGGCATCGCCAGCGGGACCACCGCCTCGCCGCACCAGCGAGCGCGCCTCCGCCAGAACGGCACGGCCGGCTCCCCGTCAGCGAGCGGTCGGCGGGCAAGCGAGGCGAGCCCCGGCACCGGCCAGCAGCAGCCTCGAGGGTCGGCCGACGCCGCGTCGCCCGAGCCCGCCCGTTGTCACCGGCGTCACCGTCAAGATGGTCTCGCAGGTGAGCGGCTCGTCGTGGAGCCCCGCTGCCCCCGCCCCGCCTCCGAACCTCCACCTCCCATCCCTTCCCCATCCCTCCGCTCTCCCCCCTCTTCTCCCCTTTCATCCCCCTACCATGGTGCCCTGCCCTATGCCTCCCTTCATCTCCTCCTTCCCTTCCCTCACCTCTCCTTCCTGCCACGTGTGACGGTCGCGAGCTGTGACGGCTGGACAAATCGCCTTCGGAGAAACTGTGCCGGCCTGCTAACTGGGTCTCCAATGGAACCCGTTGGTTGGCTGGCTGCTGGAGGCGTTCTGGGGTTTGCTCTCACAACCGAGCGATCAATCAACTGCGGCACTTGGTGACGGCAGCGGCTCCGTGCGGAACGGCCGGGATCCGGCTTGGTTATTAATGGACATATCGTGGCTTTTAAGGGCACCACCATGCGGGCCCGGATTAGGATTCCAGGTACTGCAGTGGTCACGTCTGGTAACCCCTGGCTATGCAGGAAGGCGTCCAGCGTGGAGAGCAGAAGCCAGCTGCTCGATTTTTGGCAGAAACTATTTGAGTTCATGTCGACGCTGCTTCAATTTAAAAAGAAAAAGTCATAGGCGTCGCACGGAGGGTAAATGTCAACGCCTGGTCTGTAGGTGTGGATTGCCCGGACTTAACGCATTTTTCTGTTGTCTCCCTGAATGTTGAAATACCGCCCTGATGTCACTACTGAGACCTAGCGCCTTTGATTTAGCGCATCGAAGATGCGGGGGGGGGGGGCGGCCAGCGGTGTGACAGGGCTCAGACGAGTGTGTGCAACCGCTGTGGCGCACCAAACCCCGTTCCATTTTTAAACGGGGCCTGTGCCTGTGAGCCTGTCATGGCTGCACCATGTGGGCTTAGTGTGGGGTGTGAACTGTTGTAGCACTGCCTTTTATCAACTTATATTACGTGTTCTCTTCCCCTTCCGTTGCCGTGCTACGAGTTTGTTTGCGTGCAAGGACTCGTAAACGTCCGATGCGCCCTTCCACCACCTCCACCTGCACGCAGCTGTCCTCCCCCACCCTCCACCTGCACGCAGCTGGCCTCCTCCACCCTCCATCTGCACGTAGCTGGCCTCCTCCACCCTCCATCTGTGCACGTATGGCCTCCTCCAACCCTCCACTGCACACGCAGGCTGGCCTTCACCGTCCACCTGTACGCAGGGCACTGCTCTCCCACCGTCCACCTGCACGCAGCTGGCCTCTCACCGTCCACCTGCACGCAGCTGGCCTCCTCCACCATCCACTGCACGCAGCTGGCCCCCCCACCCTCCACCTGCACGCAGCTGGCCTCCTCCACCCTCCACCTGCACGCAGCTGGCCTCCTCCACCGTCCACCTGCACTCAGCTGGCCATGATCGCCACGCATCCCACGTGCTCACTTCCCGAGAGTCGCCGCCGAGGCGCGTGTCCGCCGCCGTCTCCGCCGCCCACGCAGCGCCCTCCTGAGCGGGCGCCCGTTCGGCAGGGCACGCCGCCATCGCAGGCCGGCCCGGCGCCGGCCGGCCAGTCGCCGCTCGGCAAGCACTGGGGGCCGGAGCGGCGGTGGTGTGTGCCGTGCGCCCTCGCAGTCGTCGGAATCTCGATCGTCGGCGGCAAGGTGGACCTCTACAACGCCGCGCCCGGCGGCAAGACGGTCATATCGGGCATCTCATCAAGAACGTGCTGGCCGACAGTGGGGGCGGCCGCACTGCTCAGCTCAAGGTGAGCGGCCGAGGCGGCCGTCTCCGAGATGGCTGTCTTGGCTCAAGCTGAGTGGACGAGATGGCCGTCTCAGCTCAGGTGGGTGCGCCGAAATGGCCGCTTGAGCTTGGTAGAAAGCGCATTGGCTCGGTCCGCTGCGGATCATTGCAGTGCGACTCTTTCCTGGAGCTGTGGGCATTCTCGACAGACAGGTTCGAACTCTGGTTAGGTGGGGCAGGCACGAGATGTGCCGCCCAGCTCTTCGGAAGCATAGCGTTGTCACTTGAGTACGCGGTGATGTTCTTCGGTATTCCGATCGGCCCACCCGTGACATAATGTAGGAAGCACTGAATCATTGTGAGTTAGACTTTTTCAGTCGATCAACCACCGTGACCCACACGAGGCTTCACACGGTCGCCGTTTCATTGCTCCTTGACGAGAACCCACGCGACCGGTGGATGCGATCCAGCCGCGCGCTGCGTCGCGGGCCGCTGGTACGGCGAATGGTTCGGGGAGCCGTACGGTGTAAATTCCAGTCCCAGTGTCACGTGGCCACGAGCTGGGGAGATAGCTTTGGCTGTGTTCATGCGGCACGCTGGCCGTGCTGCGCCGAGCCCGACGCCGAGCCCCGACGCGGCACCCGAGCCTGCCGGCGCCGCCCGTGGCCGACCCGCGCCCTGCGTTCGCAGACGGGCGACCGCATCCTCTCGGTGGACGGCACGGACCTGCGCACGGCCAGCCACGACCAGGCCGGGGCCGCCATTCGCAGTTCGGGCGACGCGATCGAGTTTGTCGTTGCAGAGTCTGGTGCACCGGGTGAGTAGCTGAGGCCCGTCGCGCAAGATGGCCGTCGCTCGCTGTCGCCGTCTGCGCTCATCATGTGTCGCTGTCGCTGTGCGTGCGTGCGTGTGAGCGTGCAATACATTTTACTACGGATACGGGGTGTGGATCCGCCGACGGAGCGGAAGACCGCTGGCTGCGGACGCGCGTGAGCGAGGACGTCGCGCAGCCGACGGCGCTCTGAGGGGCTCGCTGAATGGATACCGTCTCCGACTAGTCTTGCGATCGTCTGCTGGCTCTGGAGGGCGGGTGGTGCCGATTGCCTTGCGTCTGTAGTCGTTGAATGGTCTGTACATAGTTGCGAGCACTTGGCGGGGCGCTGCCCGGGGCAGGTCGTACGTGCGCCGCCCGCGTTAGACTTGAGCCGGCCGCCGTCGTCGCGCGCTGCGTGTACCTGCCCGCCGCCTGTGTCTTGTGGCCGCCGCCCGCCGCCGCGCCGGATGGCATGAGGCGACGGGCCGAGCGTGCATGACCGACGCGGCTGTGCACGGCCTGCCGCAGTCGCGAGGCGGCGCCGCCGGTAGAGAGGGCGCTAGTGGCGACGTCCCGGCGCCGGCCGACGCGTCCGAGCCGGCCGAGCCGCCGGCCCGCTCGCCCTCGCCAGAGGTCATCCAGGTAGGAGCGCCGACGGCCGGCCGCTCGCCGCCGCATGCGCATGCGCCTGAGGGGACGCCGCGGGTTGGACGGGCAAGTCTTCTCGCCTGTCTGCCCGCTCGCCCGCCCGCCTGCCTGCCTGCTTCAAACTGATTGTCGTTGTTTGCTGCCGCCGTGAGAGCGGTGTTTGAAGGCACCTGCGTTGTGTTTTGAGCGTCGAGATGCGTGTGTGCCGTGTCGTGCGCGGTTCGTGTGCGTCGCTTTGCACGTAGCGCCGCCGTGTGCTCGCCGCGCCGCCACCGCCGCCTGCCACGCATGCTCTGTGTGACCCCAGCCGGGCTACAAGCCGCCGGCCAAGCGTCCCGAGCGGCTGGCGAGCGAGGCGTCCGTCGACGAGTCGCTCGAGGAGGACGAGGAGGCGCGCACCGCCGGACGCTTCATCACCGCCGCCGGAGTCGAGGTGAGTCGATGGGTTCGGTCGGGTCCGGCCTGCTGGCCGTTCGGTCGCGCGCCGCGTCTC